AAACAAATTTAATTAGTAATTATTTTTAAATCTTTTTTTATTTTTTTAATTTGAAAAAACACTGATGAAATATTTTTATTTCTATTTAAAAAATTCATCAATAACTTTTTTTAAATGTAAGTATTTTTCTCGTATATTTGTTTCATTTTCTAGGTATAATTATTTTTTTGGTTAAAAATGAGGGGCTTAACCATTCAAAATATGAAAGTTCATTGCTATTTTCAGATTTTTTCCATTATTTTACCAGGGTCGAGATACTGTTGGTCAATCAATTAATGTGACTTGTGAGGTACAACAATTATTAGGAAACAATCGAGTTAGGGTCGTAGCTATGAGTGCTATAGACGGTCTAACCATTAACCAGTTTTATAGGTCATAAGAATGTATTAAACATACTTTAGAAAGTCCAATGCGTTATTAACAGGTTTTGGAATATTCAAGAACTTATTTGTTCCAAAAATTTGTACAGGGACTTCATTATTTTAAACACTAAAGTTCATTGGGTTTTTTAAGACTTTTTTCAAATAGAAATATATGTTTCAGATAAATATAAATTTTCTTCCGCGATTTTGACTTTTCACCTCACAAAATCCGTCAATTATTTTAAGAGTAAATTATGATTTTTGTCTCTATGGTTTGAGAAAGATTGCGATTTTCCTTCTTATGGTTTTGAAATTATAATTTTCGTTCCTATAGTTTGTAATTTATTATTGTTCTCATTCCTAAAAGACTAAATATGTTAAAACTTTTTCATTAACTTAAGAATATTTTAGTTTTTTTGATTTATTTTTCTTTTTAGTTTATTAAATATAATTTTTGGATTATTTCTTTTGGTATTTTTTTCTTTTTGATTTAATAAAACTATACATTTTTGTTAAAAAAATTATATTATTTTGTTATTGTTTATGATAAATATTTTTAATACAACTAGTTTTTTATATTTTTAGTCACTGTAATTTTAGTTTTTATGAGTTTGATTTCTGCCACTAATATTGTTCGGATGCAAGTCGTCGAGTATCCCTTACATAAGAATAGTTTAATTATTTTTTCCTCATTAAAGACCAAAGGATTGCCAAACAATTAATTGTTTTGAGGCTATTATTTATCAAAAAATGTATGTGATTTTATTAATATAATGTACAATTGTTTGGTCTTATAAATCATGCAATTATACCAAACAAATATATTTATTATATAAAAATGTTACAATAAGTTTATAAAATTATACATTATATTAATAAAATCATATACATTTATTGGTAAAAATAGCCCGATAAAGTTAATTGTTTAGTCCTATAAAAAATTTAATGATTTAGTCACTAATAAAGAAAAAAAGAATTAAACCGCTATAATGCAAGGGATACTCCACTTGCACTTAAATGTCGTTAGTGACAGAAATTGAACTAATAAGTAATTAACACTATGATTACTAAAAATATGAAACAACGAATTGTATGAAACATATTTAATTATTTTATCATATAACAATAACATAATGAACACGTTTTTTATAACAAGTTTCATAAACGTTATAATTTTCATGCAACATATCCACTAAAAATGACCACTTTTTGAGCAAATGAAGAATAAACAAAATCAGATGTTGAGATCGTGTAGTTGCAAAGACACATCTTTACAAGAAATTTGCTTTTTGAAATCTTGATAAGCTTCCAACACCAAATCCTCATCTTCCCATTCATCCCGATAAGTCTCCGGTCGTACTTGTCTGTTCAAAGAAGTTGCTGAATACATTTTCTTTCTCCATTCTTCGGTTTTTCGGCACCCACATTGTGCCGCAATCCAGTCGTTGTACTCAAACTGCGAAAAGACGACCAAAATAGAGTCGGATTTGGTTATAACAAACACCCGTAAGCCTAAGAGGGATACACTCTTGACAATTTTACAGTCAATTAGACCAATTTTCAATCGAAACTTGGTATGAGTTCTTTAAATCAATGAAAAAAGATTGTTAACCACATTGAAATGTATAACAAATGCTATAATTAGAAGAACATTGGTTCGTGAATTTATAATTAATTTCAATTTGAAAATCAACGTTTGACTCTAAAAGTCAACATCTACCCCTTAACTCAAATCTACAAACAGCATCCTACATTTCAAATGTAAAACCATGTATTATATATGGATTGAGAATTAAGAGAAGTTGTACCTGATAGCCAGTCAGATTATGGGTATATGGTTTTGGGATACCGGATGTTTGCAACGACGAATAAAATGCTTCTATGTCTTTTGTCATCTCCTCGGCTGAAGGCAGCAAAATTCGACCAGATAATATGCCTGCTATCCACTTGCTTTGGAGTTCAAACTGGGGGAATGGAGCAGTCTGTAAATTCAATCATCAAGAAAGTAAGGTGTTAATAAACCTTGAGCTGAAATAAACCACATGGTGGGGGATGTATGCAGACATGTATGTGTTAGAATATGGAGGTAACCTTGAATGGCAATCCAACGAAAGAAAGCCAAGGGGATAATGATGGCGGGAAGACGTGCTTATAAAGTGGCCCCACTCGATTGTCATCAACGGTCACGATGCCTTTGGTATGAAGAAAAGGAAAATGATACTTGTACCTGAAAGAGCAAAGAAGATCATTGCTTGAGCTTCAAGATTCAAGAAAATCTCGCGGTAAATGGGACCCACAATCAAATCCGATCTCCTCGCGTTAGATAAATGGAACCGGCAGTTACCCTTATCATATAAATGAGTACCATAAATAAACCAAACCAGTACGCATAAAGATACTTATACCTCAAAGAAAATGTTAAATGGCATATATGAACAATACAGGTTTGGTATGAAGAAATGGAAAAGGATACTTCTAACTCAAAGAGCAAAGATAAATGGGACCTGCAATCACTTGCATCAGATGAAAATGCTAAATGACGTAAAAGAAACTCACCCAGTGCAATGTAAAATAATGTCAGCAGCAATTTTGAACCCGTTTGGAAATGAGATCGTACCATCTTCATGCGCACGTTCAATCTGCATTAGTTACTTGGTATCAGTATTCCCAATCAACTCATATCCTGAACCTGCAATGACCATTTCTAGAACCCCCTCCTCTTTTTTCGTTATAAGGTCTTAAGATAACAATCAGAAAAATTTGGGCCCAAGGGAGACTCAAACTGTCGAGCCATTGGCAGGAATTTGAGTTGGCCTCAAGGTTTAGAACCCCATTTTCGTAGCAAAAGGAGTTATTGAAAAACAAATAAACAAGCCTAGTACTGGAAAGTAATACCATAGGATGAAGCCGAATGTTGTCGTATCCGGGTACCATTACTGCTTCTTGATTAGAGGTCGATCGAGATGCAATGTGGACTTGATTAGCAACACTTGCAATCTCTCTAGAGATATCAACAGCACTTGCTGCACTCCCTATTAGCACAACAACCTGTTAAAGCCATTTGAACCAACCAGTTACCCAACGGTAACAGATATGTACCTATGGAGAACGAGCCCCAAGGCCTCTGGACCTTTATTTATCAGTTGAGCTGACACGCTCAAGATTAATCGATCTGGTGGATACCTGGTTTCGAAAGGGCTCTGGAACACGATAATTGTGACTATGAATCTGCTTTCCAGGCCACCTATCCACACCTATACATAGATTCACATATAACAAGAGCTTACAACTTTTTCATAAGAAGTTCACAATTTATCATCAATCACCCTCTTTCGATTAAGATATATTACACAAATGGGTGTTTCATTAATAAGCAGATATCATTTAAGATTGTTTTGATTACTAATTTCTTTAAGGGTTAAATGATGATCGACCAATTATTATCGAGAGAAGAGAAGTACCTGGGATATGTGCGATTCGGGGCTCCGAATAATGCCCGTTACAGACAACCACAGCATCAAAAGCTTCATCCATATGTTCTTCTTCTTCTCCACCTCTCTTTCTTGATCTCACTTCCCACTTCCCATTTTCCCTTTGCCAAACCCGATTTACTTCCGTCTCAAACCGAACTAACTCACCGATTCCGAACTCGCTAGCGTAATCCTTCAAATACTCCAAGACTTCCTTATGACCCGGAAACCTCCTCGGATCTCTGTGACCCGTTCTCTTTGCTACAAAAGGGTACTCTTTGAAACTCATTGCTTCTCGGGGTAAGTTAGTACGGAGAGAGGCGTAGAGACTAGAGTGGACCACAGGACGAGTTGGGTCGATGCCGAGTGGATCGGGTTCGGTATTGTTAGTGTAAATCCAAGTGCCTCCGACTAGGGATTCTCTCTCGAAGACGACGACGGAGTGGCCTTCTCGCCGGAGCTGGCGGGCAGCTGCTAACCCAGCTGCTCCGGCACCGATGACGGCAACGTCACGGGCGACGGCGGTAGACATTGGGATGGATGGACAATATTGAATCTGTGGATTAAATATTTGAGTGTATATACAGAAATTGATGAGCAATCGTTGTCGTGACGATGAAAACGATGACAAAAAGTCTATTTATGGATGCAAATCGAGTGGAGCTTCTCTGCAAAAAAAATAAATAAAAAATAAGACCAATCCATTTACAAATTTTAATTGTGTCATATCAGTTCTTATAATTATCACTTGTACATCTGCAATTCACCTATACTTTCAAAAATGATCCCCACTATAATATTTATTAATTATTTATATATACATTCTAATTATTTTTTAATTAATAATATGTTTTATATGTAATTTTATA